TTTGGATAAAAGCGTCGAACAAACAACATGTAATGTAATGTAATGCCCTTGCTGATGGAAGGAGGTTGTCACTCAAAATCTCACGATACATGGCCCCATTCATTCTTTCCTTTTACACGGATCAGTCGTCCTGGTCCCTTTGCAGAAAAACAGCCCAAAGCATGATGTTTCCACCCCCATGTTTCACAGTAGGTATGGTGTTCTTTGGATGCAACTCAGCATTCTTTCTCCTCCAAACACGTCTAGTTGAGTTTTTACCAAAAAGTTCTATTTTGGTTTCATCTGACCATATGACATTCTCCCAATCCTCTTCTGGATCATCTCTCTAGCAAACTTCAGACGGGCCTGGACATGTACTGGCTTAAGCAGGGGGACACGTCTGGCACTGCAGGATTTGAGTCCCTGGCGGCGTAGTGTGTTACTTTGTTACTTTGGTCCCAACTCTCTGCAGGTCATTGACTAGGTCCCCCCGTGTGGTTCTGGGATTTTTGCTCACCGTTCTTGTGATCATTTTGACCCCACGGGGTGAGATCTTGCGTGGAGCCCCAAATCGAGGGAGATTATCAGTGGTCTTGTATGTCTTCCATTTTCTAATAATTGCTCCCACAGTTGATTTCTTCACACCAAGCTGCTTACCTATTGCAGATTCAGTCTTCCCAGCCTGGTGCAGGTCTACAATTTTGTTTCTGGTGTCCTTTGACAGCTCTTTGGTCTTGGCCATAGTGGAGTTTGGAGTGTGACTGTTTGAGGTTGTGGACAGGTGTCTTTTATACTGATAACAACTTCAAACAGGTGCCATTAATACAGTTAACAAGTGGAGGACAGAGGAGGCTCTTAAAGAAGAAGTTACAGGTCTGTGAGAGCCAGAAATCTTGTTTGTTTGTAGGTGACCAAATAATTATTTTCCACCATAATTTGCAAATAAATTCTTTAAAAATCAGACAATGTGATTTTCTGGATTTTTTGTTTTTCTCATTTTGTCTCTCATAGTTGAGGTATACCTAGGATGAAAATTACAGGCCTCATCTTTTTAAGTGGGAGAACTTGCACAATTGGTGGCTGACTAAATACTTTTTTGCCCCACTGTATATGTTGCACTGGGTTGGCGTGATGATGTAGCATTTTCTACTTACATTTATTGTGTTTGCTACTTCTTACTAACCTTAATACAAGGACATTTTTTTTTCCAGTTTTAAATAGTTTTGGCCTTCCTGCCTCATGTGTAATTGATTAAAAATAATATGTTAGGGTAATTTGTAAAGTCAATAAAACACAGTAAAGACACGAGATACTGACCTCACATTAGAGAGGCTTTCCTGCAGCTGCGCTTTAATCATTTTCCCCTCTTCTTTTATCTGTAGCGGTCGTACAGCCGTGAGCTCTTTGAAGAGGTCATCTCGAAGATGAGGAAGGCTGGTATTAAGTCTTCTATTGCCATTGAAAAATTCAAGCTGCTATCGGACAAGGTGGAGGAAATAGTCGCCAAGAACTCCCAATCCGAAATGGACTACAGCGACGCACCTGACGAGTTCAAAGGTGTGTGTCTGTGTGTGTGTGTCTGGAAAAAATGTCACTTGGTCAGCAATCTTGTCTGACCTAAGGTCAGTTGGTGCAGACAGACAAGATCTTCAGAAGCCTCTGTTGCTGTTGAATTCCAGACATTAGTGGGGGCTTTTGCAGCTCATAGAGGTCATATAGTGAGCTTAGAGCGAGGCTATCCTGTAACCACAGACTTAATATAATCTAGATCAAGAACGTGGCCCACATACCACCTTTGATTCGCAGATATGCCAGCCAGCCCACCACAGGTTGCGGGAGTGTGCCGTACGGGAGGCTTGCGTATCGCCTTTCTCTGCGGTTAAAATCTCCCACGCCAGGTTTTATTTTTGTAACACACAAGTCCTACTGTAAAATCCATGTGACATTGCTATAAAGGGCACACTTTTGACGGCCCTCATTGAGAATTTATTGGATATTTATTTTACAGTTGTTTATGATGGCTGTACAAATAGTGTTTCCTATAAAACCTTTTTTTTTACTCAGCTGTGCTTCGACGTGTCACCAACGTTTGGTGATGACTCGCCTTACAGCTTGATCATATTTAATGTGGTTTATTTTTGTTTTATTTCAAAACATTAAAACATCATAGGAATCATAAAATAATACATGTCAACAAAAGCCACGTGTTAAGTGCTAAAAACACAATAAAAACACAATAAATAAATAAAACCAGAGGGTAGAATAAATAGTAACCTCTGCTCACATATATGCACAACATTTGAATATGAAGATTCATTCGGCTATGATGTTTGTCAAGCCTCTTGTATAGCCTCTTGTATGACAATAGCACTTAGCGTGCTGATTCTGGGAAAACTTTAACTCCCAAGATATCTAGTTGAAGCTTATTTCTTATCATTGCAAAAGTGATATGTTCTTAATCATTTTATAAATGTATGCTTGACCTTGTTGAAACAGACCCTCTGATGGACACACTGATGACTGACCCTGTGATATTGCCTTCGGGAAACATCATGGACCGATCCATCATCCTGCGCCACCTGCTCAACTCCCCCACTGATCCCTTCAACAGGCAGCCTCTCACAGAGAGCATGCTGGAGTCAGGTAACCCACCATGATGCTGTTCAACAGTTATTACATTAAGTTGTGTTCAAGGAAGGCAAGAGCATAAGTCTTTCTTACTAGGTACAGTCAATAGGTTATTTTGTTTTAGATTTAAGGCAAGTGATTTCAGGATACCTTAATGTTAAATGAAATGACAGCCTACTACATTCAAATGTTAGTTTCTTATACATTCCTCACAATGTTTTGTATTTCTACAGTCCCTGAGCTGAAGGAGAGGATCCACACCTGGATGAGAGAGAAACAGGGCGGAAGGACTGTCTGAGAACACCTATGCCTGGCCTGTTAACCATCATTAAAAGAGCTGTCCATCGACTGAATTCAGTGTCACGACTACAAAAAAACCATTTGAATGGAGAAAAAAAAGAGCTGATTTGATTTTATTCGCATTTATCCTTTTTTGTCTCAAACCATTATCATGGCTCTAAAAACTAAATATAATAAAGTTAAGACTTTTAAGTTTTTTTTTTCTCATGAGTTTGTGTATATATATATCAAAAATATATACATATATTTAACAAAAGTTAGTTAATGCATTATAGTGCTGCAAGATTAAGTTTCCAACACCAACGGGTTTACCAGCAAGGTGCATAGAGTCCATTCATTGATCATTTTCCTTTAAGGTTCTCATTTTGTTTTGTACTACTCTGTATGTTGGCTTTATTAAAGACTTGTGGTTTTAGGGAGAGGGGAGAGGGGAGGGCAATACATGTGGGAGATTGTGGGTGGGTTCTGATAAAATTGCTATTTCCGAGTTTTCATTATCAAGACTGTGACGATGATAAACTTGAGTCCACATAATGTTTGCTGATGTTCCAGAGCTATGTGCTTGTAGTTCAGAACTGGGAATATCCATTAAGGATGTAGTTTAACGCAAACTAATCCTAAATGTCAGCTTCTTTTTGAGTACAGTAGGAAGATAAGCAGTGGTTCACGAAATACTGTATGTTCAGTCTTTCCTTTTTAGTCACATTTCCCCTGCTGACTTCAATAGACTGAAATTACTTCTGTGTGCATGGCCTCAAGTCCCGACCTCCTAAGCGCCTCATGGACAAATAACCCTCTTTTAGGCGACCTGGAAAGAACGTGAGAGAATGTAGCATGACCACCAGAAACACCATTGTAGGAGCACACCATTAAACGTCTGCTCTTCAGAACCACTGACCTCCCCCGTCAAGATGGTCTCGTTTTAATGGCACTGTACGTAACATGACCGTACTGACCTTAACTGTACAGGAAAAGATTTCCTTTAACCACAGACTTGTTTTGGAAGCTAGAATTTTGAACTGAAATAAATGATGATGCACATTATTTTACAACTGGTCACTCTTTTATCTACGGATTGATATTGTAGTGGTTATGATTTGTCTTTTTCTCTGAGCAAAGCTTTTTTGGTTTACTTTATTTAACCTTATGAAGGGATGGACTCTGCATCAGAATATCAGAGATTATTCAAAGTCTTTATCTTATATCTCTAATAAATGTTTATGTAAAAAAGCATGCAGCAATCCAGGTGAATTTGACAAGTACAATAAATATCAAAATGATCAATAGTCACCCAAAGTCAAATGGCAAAACAAGAGAACATTTCCAGTTAAGATTAGATGGTTAATTTACAATCCTCCTGTTAAAGATGATTTTGTATAACATAAAAAAACAATGCATCACAATTCCTGGCAGCACAAAAGCTGCTTTTGCAAATGCGGTTTCCCAAATGCACAAGCTTAGTCATTCTTCTACTGTAATTTTTATAAAGTAATGAATCAAACGTGGCAACTATCCCAATGTATTTGATTGGAAAGTTTTAAATATTGTGTTTAAGGGAAAACAGGAGCAAGGCTTTAGGCTTTTGTATTTGTTGCACAACATGAAAAACCTTACTGCAAGAAAAGTATGTATTACCTAAATTAAATGAATTGCGTCCAACAGAAAACGGAGCAGAAATAGGTTTGTTCTTTGTATTTTTATATTTAGTAGCCTATACCTATGAAAGCATGTGTGGCACTGGCACTTAAGTGGTCAAATATATATGCTAAAATGTAGAATAGGTAGATGTTAATGAATTGGCAAAACCATTTATTTATCTAAGCAATGCTCGCAAGGCGGCGCTCTTCGCGGTGACCCCGGTGTTGCGGTGACAGCGGTGCGGGGAGCGGTGGGCAGAAATCCTGCAGTGTGGCGTCACGACAGGAAAAAAAGAAGAAACCCCGCCCACCCCCTTTCCGATTCCGAGCCTCGTCATTGGCTCTACGATACATTAGTCACCGTTGTCTCTTCTTTCATTGGCCTGTCCGGCTGTCAGTCAGCGTGGCCGAGAGGGAGTTGACGTAATCTCTCCAGTAAATCAAGGCAACCCATCAATTCTTCTTTTCGCCTCTGTTCAGATCAGACGTCCGCCTTTCAATCTCTACTGGAAAATAAACTCGTCAAGGGGTCGCCGGCAGCAGTCCATCCGGCGGAGGATACCGCTATAATGGGTGATTTCCACCTGAGTGGACTTTACAACAGTTTTCGCGCTTGCGGATTTTGATAGAAAACAACACAGCTTGAAACGCCCGCTAGCTAGCGTTAGTTCTCGCCGCTGTCCTGTGGTGTTATCTTGGTGAAGTCTTCAAACGTGAGTCAAAACGATGGATTAATATATGTATTTATATTTTGTAACGTTTGTAGTGCATGAGGTTGTTATAACAATATTATTTGTGCAGTTGTCGGTGGCTGGTGAGCAGTTTTAGCTAACGTTACTGTCACGTTAGTGTATTTGCACCGATAGCTTCATAGTCCTGTTTCCGATAAACGTTTTACATTCATACATCATTTGCAAATCGTATACTATTACTTATTTACGATCATAGTATTTGCCTTTGGTTGGATACTTATATCCTTTGTACAAACACCGGAGGTTACTTCTGTCTCGGCCATAAACAGAACGCAAAGTCATTAACATTTCATGTTTCAACCCTCGCTTGCAGTTACTATACATAATAGTTGCCGTTTAAAGCATTGCACCCACTGTTAACATCGTCAAACATGAATATTGTGTCGAGTCTGTGCTGCTTAAATAAGCATGCAACTCCTCCCTGCACTATTCCACAACATACAGCCGCCGTGGATTAGCCTACTTCCTAACATCGGTGAATTTAATTAGAAAAAGGAGGAAATGTAAGCTGTTTGCCTGCACACAATGAACCCAGTTGGATGGAGCAGGCAGGCCCGGCTCACTGCCTGACTGTAGCTCACACAAAATCGGGTAGATAGAATTTCATGGGCGTATGCTTTTTAGCAAGTATGGCTGACTGCAAGGACATGAAAAAAACATTGGCAAATGTAGCCACTGGCCACGGGATGTAAGGCTTCAGTAGACTGTCAACCCATTGGAAAGTTGTCTTTAGAAAAAAAAACATTATTATGAGTATGCATATCAATTATCACATGCATTATTCATATCTTGTATTTGTCAATAACCGTATTTTGCATATGCTTTGCAATATATATATAAAATGCATTGCCCTATGTATCCTTATTTTAGATGTTAAATGTATAATTTGCTGCTGTTTACAAAATATTAAAGCCCTTCAGTGGTTTGGAGCGGCCGTATTTGTTGTATGCTGTTATGAATGGAAATGTGCAGGGGTGGACTTTCATTGTGTTTGATATACATCATGTGATAATGGGTATTGCATTTTCTCAGTGTATCTTTCCTTAAACACAGTCTTGCTTCGTTTATTAAAAAACAGATATTCTCTTTGTAAATTGGACGCAAACATCTCTTTTCTGTCTTTATTTCAGGAGAGATACCAAAGGAATCTTACTTGTGGTCGTTTCTAAACCACAAAGATGTCGGGGGCATCTGTAAAAGTTGCGGTTCGAGTTCGGCCCTTCAACTCCAGGGAGACGGGCAAGGACTCCAAATGCATCATTCACATGCAAGGCAACACTACAAGTAAGTCTACTGGCGTGCACACAACCAAACAATATGTCTTGAATGTATGCAGGCCTGTCTGCTGAGGGTCGTTTGGTATACCACACATGCACCCACGTGGTCTTCCTTCAGGCCTCTTAGCGGGGGACAGCAGAATGAGCAAACTGAATAGTGGACGGTTGGGGACAAACAGCCTGAAAGGGAATAAAAGGCCTACCGAGGGAAATTCCTCCTCCTCTGAAGGGGGCTGCATGCCTTAGGAGTCTCAGTGTGTGAGAAACGCTGAGTTGCTCAATACTGAGAGACCCAGGGGTCGCCTCCCAGCCTGTCCCACTAATACCTTCAATTCATCAAGGCTTTATCCCACAGTTCATGTTTTAGAATGGATTTGTCTGTTACTTTGTAGTTTATGATTGTCTTATCTCCCAGTCAGTGTATACAAGCGGCTGTAAAGTACTTGTAGAGTTGTGTCAAGTGTTATGGCCATAATTATTATTTATGTTGTGTGCAGCTTTTTATTTTGCTGTACATTTCACACAAAAACAAATGGCGGGGTTACATTTATTGGCCTGCTGAAATTAAGGAAAATATGACTCAACTTCTCATATGTTTTGTCGTATATTTGTGTCACCTTGAAAACACATTATTGCAATCAGTAAATAAGATGGATGAGTCATAAATCAACCAGATTTGTTTCTGAAGCGTTATTTTTAAATCGAGGCCCAGAGGCTTAATGCGTCAGTCATTCGTGAATAGAAAGATAGATGTACTCGAATGAAGTATACACTCAAATCCAATTGTATGTATTAATGTGTACTTGCAGTGCAGAAAGAGAAGACTTGAATGTGGGTTGTAGTCTTGTGATCAACCTGCCTACTTGTGACTTTGAGTCATCATGTACTGTGAAGTGCGAGCTGCCTCCTTGCTCCATGGTTGTGCTGTATTTCCAATTCCAGCTGACAGATGAGTACAATCTCCCCGACAGTAGCATGGAAACATTTTAAAACCAGTAACTAGACAGCATGTGACGGCAGAAACCTGTTCTTCCAGCTCTCTTATTTGCCTCGACTTTTGTCTGTCAGTCTTACCGGGCTCATTACACTAAGCCTTTATGAATCTTCCATAAGATCAAGTGTCCCTACTAGCTATGGCTCACATGCCCCTTATCTCTCAAACTGTACCAAAGAGAAGCTTTGTGTCAAATCCCCAGTCCTTTTACTCCATATCCTTGGGTTTTCATTATGCCAAAGTCACTAGGAAGTGCTGAAGGGTGACTCGTGGTTTTGAGCAGAACTGCAGTAGAATATGCAGCTTTTTCGGGCTTAGTGAGTGAGTGAGTGTGTGTGTGAGTGAGGGAGAGGAAGAGGTTGCAGCACTGCTTACTCTACCTCTATCACATGGGCAGATTGCAGAGCAGAAAGGGAGGCTGGCAGGCGGCCATACTCTCCCTTCACCAGGACTTCATTGCAGATGGTATGCTGAGAATACTGTCCTATTGAGATGCTGAGAGGTTGAATGGTACCTTGTGGCTCCAACATGCTCATGTTCATACATGCAGATGAGACTTTGTGATACGAAGTGAGAAAATGTGACCTTTCTGTAGTTGTGATTCTGCATTTTTTTAATATATCAGAGTCCACCGAAGCCAACGTACATTTCTTATTATAAACTATGCATCAGTAGATTGTTTGCAAGGGGCTCAATGTTTCTATAATGTGTTAATTTGTTGGCACACCCGTTATGACTTTTTATGGCTAGATTACGTCATGGTTTAATTTGAACAACATTTCTCAATAATTGTGCATGAGTATGTTTCTTTGACTTTGGCAAGTTTGTGTTTTCCTTTATTACTGGTTTTCAAAACAGATGGACTTTTGCCCCATATAAGGCAGTGTATATACAGCTCTGGAAACATTTAAGAGACCACTGCAGCATTATCAGTTTCTCCGGTTTGACTATTTATAGGTATGTTTGATTTAAAGGAAATGTTTTTATTTTATTCTATAAACTACTGACAACATTTCTCTGTGTTGGAATTCAACAGACACTGGAATGGAATGGCTGGCGTACATGCAGAGATTGAGATTTAAGATACATTTGGAGTGGTCTCTTTATTTGTCCAGAGCTGTATAACTTATCAACACGTTTTTTTGTACTCAACAAAAAACCCATTTTAAGTATCAAATACTCTCCAATGAAAGGTGAAATATCCATTGTTGTCATTAACTTTATCTTTGCTCCGCTAAAATTCATTCTTTTAATTTCAATGTTTTATACATTATGCTGCTTTAATCTGAATCAATGGTGCCATTGTTTTTAGCACAACACAGTGTATACATTACCTGTGATGGTTTTTATTATTTTATGCCCTCTGATTGGCTAAAATGTGAATGAGACTGAGAGCTGGGATGTGTTATGGAGTTGCTTGGTCAGCCTGCAGGTGTTTGCAGATGTGTGTATGAGGCCATGACACACCCCTTATTGTTGCGACTCACTCAAGGGCAAATGTTGGTGCGTGTGTGTCAACAGAGGCACAGAGAAAGAGAGGGCCTGGGGGCAATGGCAGGATGTGTTTTCTCTCTCTTCCTCTCTGTTCACCATGCACGGAGGGTCGTCTGGGATAGTGTGCAGGCAGAGGGGCAGCAAATTGATTATCCAGTGTGCATGAAATGTGTCCAAGGCCTCTGCAGGCAGGTTTGAAACAAGTAAAGGCCTCTTTCACTAGAAGCTCTTAAACATACCAGAGCTAATGTAATTATAAATGGGTGACGTGATGGGCTGTTGCGTTAGTTACTGTTGGTGCTCCGAATGTTGAATAACGGCAGGACACCCAAAGCCTGCCTTCGGCCAGTGTTATGTAACCAATGTGTTGTGTTGCCCCTCAGCCAATGAGCAGCATGAATGTATGGCCAAAGAAGGGCGATAGGTCTCGTACAGTGCGAAGAGAAGCAGATCCCCTGATATGTTAGACCACTACATTGACTTTATTGGAACAAACCTGCGTTCAGATGCATTATCATCCACATTATCAGTTGTATTTACAGAATGGGAGATAAATGCTTTATTAATAGATACCAACCCAGCCTATACCCATGTTTTCCAGAACTGGTTGAATGGTGCACGATATTATCCCCCTAAGCTAAGCGTAAACTAATGCTAGAACAAACAAAAGGTCACTTTGTCAATTAAACATTCACCTTTCAGATAGAATTGTGCTGAGTGTCGTCAGTTTGAGCTAAGTGGACGGTGACCTTACAAAAACCCTACAGGGAGGAATCGGCTCACCTATAGTGTCAGTTACAGCAAAGAGGAGGCTATCACCACAGCAGAACCGACAATGAGCCCATATTGTTTGAATAAACCGCTAGCAGAAAGCTAACAGGACAAGTGGGGATCATGGGGGTCTGGTTGAGGGATGATCATCTATCCTGCCGCTGAACCCTTTGCAGACAGGGACGATTGACCTGATTAGAGACAGTAATCTGCTGTCTTGCCTCAGGTCGCCACGCCCTGCTGCTGTAATCCCAGTGACCCTTGTAGGTGTACACAAGCAACGCACACCAACTCAGGGTGTTACATTCCTTATCCCCTCATGCTGAGATAGTTTGTGAGCAACACGCATTTGCACACATGCAGCACTTTCACATTCCAGACTGACCGTAATGAGGAGGGAGGACAGGCAGATGTCCGTATCGTGATCTGCTCATGCTGTGCCTGAGGAATTTCAGGCCAGAGGCGCAAGTGCATGGCTTGCAGCTAAGCCAGTTTTTTGTACACTTACCTGTAACGGAAACAGAAAATAACCAACATGTCACTTTGTTACACACTTGATTTGGACTTTAACCTTATTGATATTGAGAGCATGTCGGACCTCTGTGTCACTTTGTCAAATGATAATGAAGAACAGACAATAATCTTATGAGTCATACAGCACTTTCACATCTCATATCGCTTTCATATCCTCTGTGGTCATCTTCTTGCTCTGTAGTCAAGGCAACAGCAATGTTTATTTTCTGCTGCAAAACCGCATCTTGAATGAATGAATGAATAAATACAAGTTTTTTACTTCCTCCATTTACATTCTTTTCATAACATCATGTGCTTTTGTTTACTTTCAGTCATGTCTTTCTGCCTGTTCATTTCTAACCTGGTGCTGCTACAGGGCAGCGAACTGTGATCGGGTCGCAGTCTGTCAAGATGTGAATGATGCCGAGGTTTGACAGTTAATGATAGTTGTTTGGTTTGGGCTCATGTTGAGTGCCATAGGTAAAGGTAAATATGTGGGTCTGGTAGGAATATCAGGTTGTCTATGACTTTTATTCTGTTATTAGAGTTTATTTCTTCAACAAAATTGAAACATGCTGATAAAATATTTATGGTTGGTTTTGGTGAAATTCTCTTCAAGTAAATTCAGTTTAATAAGCCATAAATGCATGAATTCAAATTGTATTAATACTGTTTATGTTGCCTATTAAACTGTTTCACAAACCCCCGTTAGCATTCCCATTGGCAATGAATCCTTTTTCATTAAGTGTTTTAAAGGGAATAAGAAACCACAATGTGGCATTGCCTAATAGGGATAGTCTGTAGGTTGGAATGTTCTTAATGTGAATTGCTGTAATTGCTGACCAAGCCACTTGTGGTTTCTACTCTGCAACTTAAATGTTGACTCTTCATGACCCTTTCCGTTTTTAGCTTCTGTTTTCCCCTTCTGCACATGGTTAGCATAAGAATCTTTCCATCCTCTTTGGTTTATTGCTGCATTGATTTGTCAAACGGCGAAAGCTCTTCTTTGGGAACACCTTTTTGAAGACATTTTAATAATGTCAAATTAGGGCCTCAAAATTGATAGAAACGTACTTTTGTAACGGTATCAAAACATCTGCGAATATCAAACGGCGGTAGAAAGCTGTACACTCACAATGAGTGTTTGTAACTGCTGAATGTGTTGGCATTGTTCTCCTTTTACCATCTAAGGGCTGGAGGAATCAGCTACAGATGTTTTTAAACAAAGGTATTAT